AATGATTACCAATACATCATAACTAATCGATATCGATAATAGCTGACTTCCTCATCCATGACTTGAAAACTCCATGATTATAACCATATTACAGGCAGACAAAGTGACCCTTATAAATCAACCGTTCTGATTAAAACTCATTGATCTAACACAAACACGACCTCCTTCGCCTTACGCTTTTCTACTGAAGCTAAATAATGGAATCTACTACCAAGCGCTAAAGCTGACAGCCTTGCATTCAGACATAAGGGCGAAAAATGAACATGCAAGTGCTATACTAGCCCACGCATCGACTCAAATCTATAAGTTCTTTGTTTACTCGTAGAAATAACCAAACAAAATACCAGCGGTTCTGATCCGCCCATCCCAAAACCAATAATCATGACTAAGGACCTTAATTACGCAACTGACTTCCTGATGAGGCATGATTAACCAAATGCTCCCACGAGCTAAACCATGGTTGAATACAAAATCCCATGTGGCATTCAAACTCCCAAAATAGCTCAGGTGCACAATCACCTGCCAAAACACCCAAAGACTTACAACGAACTACATCACTGACAACATTACTCATAGGAGATCTTATCATAAAATAAACACGAGTCCACAAGGAAGAAACCCAACAACGAACTTCTAACATACAACCATAATTTTCCCAGAAATTCATCATATTATATACGTCTGACTCAACTTACGAGTAACTGAGCCACCAGTAGTATTTCCATGTTTCAAAAAATACCTAACTATACCAAAGACCAACGAACCAAACATATGAATCTCCACCGTAAATCATGCCACCGACCTACATGAACCCAATCAACATTCCACTTAACACTTACCAACATCCAAAGGAGTCATACCATAACATGCAACCCTTCCATAATATACACTGCTATCGACTCGTCATCGGACAAAACATGCTCACATGTAACAAGGAAATAAGATAAATTATAGAACACTTGCCCCAACTTGAAAGCAATAAGTCAAAAGTAAGAACCATTCCATTAGGATAGACTGAGTGTGTTCAGGATATCACACTCGAACCCCTACACTCTCGAAGACCTTATTTGTTGGACTACCACCAATTCACACTCCCCAAGGGAAAACAAAATGCTCCTCTGACCAATTGTGTTCCTTTTTTAACATATCCTTACCCAAAGGGTGAAGTAAAATCAAAACGAACGGAATAACGGACCTCAACTATTAAAAGAAACATTCCTGAAACAGCCAAAATGAGATCCCATACCTTAGACGAAGTTGAACATATTCTTCCAATGCACCATTAGACCAATAGAATTTCGTAATTCAGAGAAGAATTCCAAAATCACCTAAAAATGTTGCCAATACCATGGTTGAATCAATCCCAATACCAGCCCATTCTAAGCGACCTGCAAAAACTGGACTCTACATAGACCAAAAACACACTGGAAAACTGAACAATGTTATTCTGACATCAGAACTCCCAATAACCAAGGACAGCTACCACGATATAAATCTTATAGAACTTGAGGAAGGTCAACGCATCAATTGCACCCTGAACTAGTACCACTAGAGTCCCTTTAATAACTGATAGATGTTGATGAAGAAAGAAATGACCAATTGATTAATGTCCCAGATGTTGATAAGGAATAGAATGATCGATCAATCGGAGGCGGATCAAAAACTAGACCAAATGTTCCCCTAGACTATTGAGTAAATCCCATGAGAAAATACACATACGGAACTCTAAAGCCGATCAACAGATCAACAACTCCCCATCCATGACCATAAATAGCAGCCCCATGCTGCGAGCTAACTATGTCCTATATATCAAATTCCCAAACTGAGCGAATCAAATGTTCCTTTCTCAAATCCTTGGGGTTTCGAGAAGAACTATATGTTGTGAGGACAACACATGCGTCATGGAATTCACAACCTATCGGTAACGTGCTATGTATTCGATCTCACCAATATTTGAATTATTCCTGACCATTAAGGATTTCAGTGGACACTTGAGAATGTAATTAGAAGACTTCCTAACCATGAGCTCTTCAATGATAACCTACCGTCACTCCCATCTGCAGCAATAACCCTGAACCAAAAACCTCGCCCCCTTGAACCATGGAGTCCCTTAATCCATTACGGTGAGACCATAAAATCTCACTAGTCGTTAATCCTCCTCTGAAGCTTCAAGAATTCCTTACAGATGCTCAAATTCTGAAAAACTCAATATATAATAGAACTCTCCTTCCTGATAGGAATAAATCCTTAACAATCGAATAGATTAAAATAGGTAAAGAAATCCATATGATCAAACTGGTGCTGAATGATTAATCGTCACGCCTCAGAAGAACTCGATGAAGAATTGCTTCTGTAGAGGCGTTAATTAAGGTTACAAAATATGTTATCAGACTTAACTAAAATACGTAGCATGCATGCACCTTATATATTATAACCCTAGCCTTAAATACGAGTGGACAGGCCCAACTCGTTTATACAAAATGGACTAAATAACGTAAGCCCAATGACACAACACTAATATCTTCAACAATCTCCCCCTTTTCGTCAATTGAAACCATGGCCATTTTAATTCGTGATTCGCTTCTGCACTTCATAGACTTTGGGAATGAAACTCAACAGCAGCTTGCGAACATGAATGTACCAAGTGATCACATCATCTTTGTTGTTTCCCTTAAACTTCACAACAAGCTCCAAAATAAACTCCAGACATGAAGTAGTAAACAAGTGCTCGTCTTCAAGATGAAAGAATAACTTGCGTGGATCTGCTCCTGGATGATCTCTAGCCGTGTATACCACAAACCATCCTTCCTTGTAAATCTTTCCTGGCTTGAGCTTCTGGAAATCTTTCGGAGCTTCTTTTGGAACAACACTTGGTTTTTTCCTCAGAACAGTGGCAATGTCCACATCCATCAATCCAAATTCCTGAATGTAAGACTGGATCAAAAGTTGAAGATGGGAAAACACAGGTTTTTACTTCTCCTTCTCTCGCAACAAGATATTGAATATCACCATCCAGTCATGGGGGTTTAAGCAAGGCAGATCTGCGAGTGTGCATTCGCAGGCTTGACATGCAGATCCTCTCGCAACATTAAACTTCGCATTAGGGAAGCTTTCAGTCTCGATTGGCCCAGTAACCTTCACACTACAATTTTGCTCGCACTCCAAGTTTCGTACTGGGGCTTCATATGTTTCAAGTGGAAGGCAAACAGCTGTTGATCCCCAGTGCTGTCTGAGAAAGGTACATTAGCATCCTTTACAAAGGCACGAAACCTGAACGCCTTTGGTATGATAGGAAGGTCTAACTGCGAATCTCGTGTATTCTGGACATCAAAGGAAGCAATAGGATCCAACCAATACTGACTTGGCATATCCACAGCTTGGTTTTACATGCGCTTCAGGGTCCACTTTGGAAATAATAGCATTTTGCTTTTAAGAGTGGCCTGAGCTTCCTTTTCAGCTCTTTCTTTTTCCTCAGCCTCCTTAACGATATGAGCATTTTCATCCAGTTCTGCTTCACGAACCTTCCCCCTTTTAAGCTCGGCATCATCAGGCTCTTCGTCTTCGTCATTGTCAATAATGGGTTCATTACTGAATAACGGTTCCTTGTCCTTTGGATCTGGCTTGATGACAGGAGGTTTAACTGAAACTTTGGGGTTATCATCACCCGTTTGAACTTTATAACTACCTTCTCCCCCTTGTTTCGGATAAGACATCGGCGTCGAAACACCCTCCAAACGGTACAACATGGCGAACACCGGTCTTAGTTTTTCAGCCAGATGCTTTCGAACGGTGATGGAAATCATGGGATCACGATTCTCAATGATATCAGAGAGGAGTCCATTAACATCATAAATAGAACTTCACATTACTGCTTTCTCTGCTAGCAAATCATTGACCCTCTTTTCAGTGTATTGAATCTTGGTTTACAACACCCTACGTTTTTCCTCCTTGACTGCGAGAGCATCCATAATCTTGTTCTCCATCGCCAAGTATGCTTGAAGCTTTGTGAGTTTCGCATCGATAGAAGTCTGGAATGCTTCATGATCAGACCTGAACACGGTGCGAAGGTCAGCAAAATTCTCTTTTTCTGCTTGGAACATGGCACCAGCATTCTGAATATCATTGTTCGTTGTTGTAGGGTTGGCATGGTAGGTAACCTGGTAGGCTTCCATGAATTCCCTTATGTCAGCAATTAGTTTATCCACTTTTTCGGTCGTTTCCTTGCAAACAACAGCAGAGTCAGAAACTGCCTTTGACAAAGTAGAAGTGTTGGCAGTATGTTCCTTTGTGACTCTCTCAAGGATAGACTTAACTGCAGCTTTGGAGTAAGCTTCAGAAGTGGAAACGCTGGATGCGAGAAGCAGCTGATCAAGCTTCTCATGCAGACATTTGAATTCCACTTTCAGAGTAGAAACATCATCTTCATTGTCAATCCTTATTTGAAAAGGACTATAAGAGAATCCTTCCAAATCATCAGCGTCATCGTCTCCGAAAATCATGTTCGGGTCATCTTTGCGAATAGGAGATATGGGTGGTGTAACATGAGTTGAAAATCCTGAAGTGTTAGCCCCCGTATCAGATACGTTAACTGAACTTACAGGTGCAGTAGAGGTTTGAGGTGGAACTGTGGAATATGTGAAAATAGGTATGGAAACTGGAATAGTTGTGGGTGTGGGAGTTGATACAGGTGGTGGGAGAGTAGCAATGGTGATTGGTATAGAAGTAGTTGTTTTTGGTGAGGGAGGTGGAGAAGGAACAGAATCATTAAGGTGTGGAGTTACCTCACGAGTAGAAAACGGGATCTCAGTGTGAACTTGGTCTTCTTCCTCATTGCGAACGTGCTCTTGTTCTTCAGTGCGAATGGGTTCATCTTCCTCAGTGCGAACAGGGGGATCCTCCTCAATGCGAATCTCCGACTCAGTATGAGAGTCCGAATTTTCATCGTCACTCTGAGATGGAGTAGGAGTAGGAGATTTTCGCCTTCTAGCGGGTTGCTTCCTTCACTTTGGTGCAGCAGTAGAGGTAGTGGGAGCTTTTCGCTTCTGAGATGGAGGTTTCGGAGCCTCAGAAGTTCTTTCTTTCGTAGAGTCTTTCTTGGTAGTTCTCTTGGACCCTTTGCCCCCTTTCATGGGTTTATCAGCCTCATCCAAAATGGCTTGGAATTCATCAGTCAAAGGACGAGGCCCTGAAGGAGTAAGGGTGCGATATCCTTCTACAACTTTACTTAAGGGAGGAACATCACGAAACATCGCTTCTGGAATGGATCCAATGAAAGAGAACTTGGACCTATCTGCCATAATAGTACCTGTTGTATGAAATGTCGCAATGGGAGCCATCAGTGCTGTGACACCAATTTTTTTTTTTTTTTTTTTTGCAAAAAAATTTTAAACCTTTAAAACTCATCTTAAATTAAATCAAACAACTGAAAAAGTCATAACACAATCCATCAAACTTAACAATCATATAAAATAAGTGCGGAAGAAATAACAATAATAAGGTCCCAAAAAAAATAACTAGTAGCGATGTCCCGGTGCTCCATGTCAAGCCTTAGCCTCTTTAATCTTGACACCTGAAAAGTTATAAGGGAAACCGTAAGCACAAAGCTTAGTGAATTCAAACACAGACATTGTACTAACATTCATATTTACTAACCCTAATCCATTTTCCAATTATAATTGTATAATAAGGACAAAGAACGAATCAATGCCTATAATACAAGAAGGACTTGTAGGTTTGAACCGCACCGGGAAGATCCCGTATCATTTGGCCCTAATCACCGCACCTCACGATGAGTATTACGTTGGTGGTCTTACCTACCCACCGTACCGGTAAATCCGTATCCTTTGGTGGTGTCCCCATATCCATGATTGGTTACATACAGTGCACATGTACGAATTAAAACAATAGTTATATAGCATGCTTTTATAATGAATTCAAATAATCACACACGAGCTAACTAGCAAACACAATCATCAATACAACGGTGTGAGAGAACTCACCTTGAGTGAGTAGTAAGGATAGCTAACAATTAAATAATGGTACCAAGCTTGACCAAACTTCAAAACCTCACCTAAGAAGGACTAAAGGTTAGAAATGAGAAGTAATGAAGCAATGAGTTGAGAAAAGAGTAATCACAACAAGGTCTCTAAAACAGACCTGCTGAACGGATTTACTCCAAAATCTAAAACAGAAACATAGCTTTAACTAAATTTTATAGGAAACTATGATTGTTCAGGATTCCAGAACTATAAAGAACTCCTTCTAACTCCAAAAGATGAATTAAATATGAATTTTACAAAAAGGTATATCACTTCTGTCTCCAACAAGACAGTCAAGTGATGTTGGCCAATTCTACCAAACTTGTGAGTAGAATTCGTCCAAACCAAAATTCAGAGAAGCAAAGGACATACAACTGAAAGTCTCGGAGTTGGAATTGAATGGAAAGCATCTCCCAAACTCCGGATATAAAATTCACATTGTGGACAATCACAGCACTAGCAAAAGCTGGTGACTGCCCACAGATCTGGAGTGTGGATCCATTCTAACCAACTTATATTTGGAAATAACACCCCATCTGCTCCAGATCTTAAATTCATAATATCAGGAACCTATAGAAACTTGGAATCACTCTGGATCCTTTTCCAAGCCTTAGAAATGATGAAAACAAAATGACATATCAGAACAGACCCGGATCAGACCTAACAGCAAAGATGCCATTCTTGCCTATAGATAAAGTCCTTATCAGTGAGGTTGGCCTGCTTAAGAAAGTTAGCCAACTCAATTGTTGAACTTTTGGAACTGGTTTGGGGTACGTTTGAGTTCTAGAGCTCAACATATGAGTTTTACAAAATGACTACAGATCTGATGGAAAACAGAATCGTAGCCACCCGTGATTCCTTTTTGGCTTATCCATCCTTCTCCCTTTGAAACACATTTTAAGATGTGTTCATCATCCCAATTTAGTCCCCATGATCATGATGGTACTAAAAAGGGTTAGGTATCATTAGGATTTCATTTTGCCACAAGAATGTAATAATAATCAACATAAAGCACATAAAATCACCACTCACCCTTTTAGGGTTTCCATGATCTTTTGCAACATGTAATCCCCTAGATCCATCATCCACCATATATGGGGTGAAGATAGAAACTTGAGATGATGTATAACATACAATTCTTTGCAAATAACAAAAGAGATACAAATCAAATAAGAAGGAGTAGAAGTGAAGATGAAATCATAAAACTAGAACAAGGTTATGAATCAAGTTGTAAGAAATGATAAGGAGTTTCATACCAATATGAATCAAGGCTGGAAATGAACAAGAATTAAGCTCCAAACAACATCCCCTTGGCTGCTCTTGATCCCAAAGAGAGAGAGAGAAGGACGGTGTGAGGGAGAGAGAGAGTAGGGTTTAGAGTTTTTTTCTTGTGTGTGTTCCAAATGACTCAATTAACACATTGAGTACTATTTACTAGATGGACTTTGCAAATAGACCCATAGCCCATGGACTTCAATAAAAGGAGTTTACAAGATGATCATAAGAGTCCAATAACATAAGAAATCAGACCTTGGTTAAATAAATTAACCCAAGGTTACAAGAATATTTAAATTAAAATAACTAAACGTATCGAGAAAAACCGAGGCGTTACAACTCTCCCCCACTAAGAACGGACTTCGTCCTCGAAGTCAACGCCTAGAAACAGATCCGGATAATGAGCCCTCATCTCGCCTTCCGGTTCCCAAGTCCATTCGGAACCCTTCCTATGTTGCCACTGCACCTTAACCAGGTTTATAGTCTTGTTGCGGAGAGGTTTCGTCTTTCGTTCTAAAATAGCGATTGGTTTCTCAACATAATTGAGACGCTCGTCAATCTGTATGTCCTCCAGTGGTATCACAGCGGTCTCATCAACAACGCATTTTCGTAACTGAGACACGTGGAACGTATTATGAATTAGACTAAGCTCGTCAGGAAGCTCTAAACGGTAAGCCACCTTTCCAACACGGGCTATGACCTTGTAGGGTCCAATGAATCGGGGTCCAAGCTTTCCCCGCTTCCGAAATCGAATCACACCTTTCCAGGGGGAGACTTTGAGCAACACATAATCTCCTACCTGGAACTCAAGATTGGAGCGTCTTTTGTCGGCATAACGTTTCTGACGACTCCTCGATGTGACCAAATGATCCCGAATCACTTGGATTTTCTCCGTAGTCCGTAGCACGATATCGGTACTCCCAAGTATCCTCTGCCCAACCTCGCCCCAACAAACGGGCGTCCTGCACTTTCTCCCGTACAAGGCTTCATACGGAGGCATCTTAATGCTCGAGTGATAGCTGTTGTTATAAGAAAGCTCAGCTAGATGTAGATGGTCATCCCAACTACCCCTAAAATCAATCGCGCATGCCCTAAGCATGTCCTCCAAGGTCTGAATCGTCCGCTCACTCTGCCCGTCTGTCTTCGGATGGAAGGCGGTTCTAAAATGTAATCGTGTGCCCAACTCCTCTTGAAACTTCCTCCAGAACCGAGAAGTAAATCGGGTGTCCTGATCGGAGACGATAGAAACGGGCACCCCATGTAATAAGACAATCTCCCGAACAAAGATCTCGGCTAATTTCTCCGCCGATGAGCTCTCCTTTATAGCCAGAAAGTGAGCACTCTTAGTCAAACGATCAACAATCACCCATATCGTATCGGCTCCTCGGGCTGTTCTAGGAAGTTTTGTAATGAAGTCCATGGTTAGATGCTCACATTTCCATTCAGGAATCTCCAATGGTTGCAACTTCCCATGCGGTTTCTGGTGTTCCGCCTTGACCTTCCGACAGGTCATACATTCTTCCACAAATCGAGCCACATCATTCTTCATTCCATGCCACCAGTAAGCCTCCTGAAGGTCCCGGTACATTTTAGTAGCACCAGGATGGATAGAAAATTTTGACTTATAAGACTCATCCATTAGGTTTTTCCGATTTTCGCCGGTATATGGAACCCAAACCCTACCGTAGCGAGTCAGCAAACCCCGCCTATCTCATTCCATCTTAGGCAACTCTTTCCCAATCTTCTCACGCCTGATGTTTTCCTCCAGTATTGCCGCCTTTTGGGCGTCCCGGATCAGATCTAACAAAGACGATACCATCGTCATCCGGAGACACTTAGCTCGAATCGGTTCGGCAGATTGTTTACGACTGAGAGCATCAGCTACCACATTAGCTTTACCGGGGTGGTAGTGAATTTCACAATCATAATCTTTTACCACATCCAACCATCTGATCTGCCTCATGTTCAAATCCCGCTGCTCGAACAAATATTTCAGACTTTTATGGTCAGTGTATATGATACACTTCAACCCATAGAGATAGTGTCTCCAAATCTTAAGAGCGAAAACAACAGCCCCAAGCTCCAAATCATGAGTGGGGTAGTTTCGTTCGTGGGGTTTCAGCTGTCGGGAGGCATAGGCTATCACCCTGTCTCGTTGTATTAACACGGCACCAAGACCCTGAAGCGATGCATCACAGTAAACCACCATATCCTCAACCCCATCAGGTAAGGCCAAAATCGGAGCATCACACAATCCCTTCCTCAACTCATCAAACGCCAATTGTTGCTCCGGGCCCCAAACGAATTTCACTGATTTCTTGGTCAATCGGGTGAGTGGCAAGGCGATTTTAGAGAAATTTTCAATGAACCTTCGGTAATAACCGGCTAAACCCAAGAAACTGCGAATTTCAGAAGGTGTTTTTGGAATCTTCCATTGTTTAACCGCATCAACCTTGGCTTGATCGACCTTGATACCGTGTTTGTTTACCACATTCCCCAAGAACTGAACTTCTTCTAACCAAAATTCACATTTTGAGAATTTAGCATAAAGCCGTTCTCTAGCCAGAGTTTCTAGAATCTCCCGAAGGTGTTGCTCATGCTCCTCTTTGCTCTTAGAATAGACCAAGAAATCATCAATGAACACTATGACAGAACGGTCAAGCATCGGGCTACACACCCGGTTCATGAGATCCATAAACGCTGCGGGTGCATTGGTGAGCCCAAAAGGCATCACCACGAACTCAAAATGCCCATAACGAGTACAGAATGTTTTTTTCTCAATGTCTTCTTCACGAACCCACATCTGATGGTAACCGGAACGTAAATCGATCTTGGAAAACCAAGACGCTCCCTGAAGCTGATCGAAAAGATCGTCAATACGTGGCAACGGGTACCTATTCTTTATCGTGCGCTTGTTTAGCTCCCTATAATCAATACACATTCGTTGGGATCCATCTTTCTTCTTCACAAAGAGAATACGAGCACCCCAAGGCGAGCAGCTTGGCCGTATAAACCCTTTATCA